ACTTATTCTTCTTGAGTCTCATGTGCATGTCAGAAAATGGGAAGCTGAATCAGGGGCTCTTACAGAACTCTTTCAACTGCAAAATTCTATGACTTTATCATATCACCGATACCTAATGACTGATGAATTCACTCCAGGACTTCTACATTTTCAAATATAACATTTAATTCAGACAGTAGGGGCAGGGATAAGTGTCTCTTCTTCATCCTTCTGAAATGCATTTTTCAGATCATGCATCTCTTTCCCAATGGTCTGTCATTGGTCTTTAGAGTGAAATCAAATTTTTACAGTAATATTTTTAAAAAATTTGAATGTCACCTAAACCATTTTAATTTATATATTACCTAAAAGTACTTTTTATACATATGAATTTTCTTCACACAGATTTGTTGAATCACAGTGTAAAACTTCATGCCATACTTTTAATACTTAATGTTGTCTCGTACATATTTCTTTTACTAACACTTATCTCTCATAGCTTTATATTTATAATGTTTTGTTTTGATGTAATTTCAGACTCATGGAAAATGTGCAAATATATACCTTGTCTCATCAATTATTAATAATTTTAATCGCTATATTTTAAGGGGCAAATCATTTTATACTGAAAGTATTCATCATAAAATATTGAAACTCTTTTCTAATGGAAAGTGCAGTATTTGGAAATTTTCTGTTATTTTTTCTTTTTAGATGATTCAGTGCCTTTTTCATGGAGACAGTTTTCTTTATTACCTGACTGCTAAACTTTTGTTCAGAACACACTGAAGTATCTAGTTGGTTGGGCTGAAGAATTTAAGTATTTGAATGGGTTTTAAAAAATATTTTTACTTTTTTTGTAATAATTTTTCTAGAGCTTGCAGTGTCACTTGTTTTTGTTTTGTTTTGTTTACAGGACTTTCCCCCAACTTGTCCTGTTCTTTCTTCTAGATCTTTGCATTTCCTGTAATACTCAGTCAGGTAGTTTTTACCAAGTAGGAGATTATTCAATAAATATTGTCTGAATATCCAAAAACTTAATACATTAGTGATACTACTGTTCAAATAGAATAAAAAATGAGTCAGGGCAGTGACATGGGGAAAATTGAACTCAGTCTGAAAGTGTCTTCCTGTACGCTTGTGATGTGTTCAGCACAAAGGGAGGTGGGGCTGAAATTATGGTTTATGAAGCAAAGAGATTGTTCATAATAGGAAATAGTAACAAAGGCGTTGACTCTTAGTTTTCCCGTCCTCTGGGAGTGGCAGAATAGGTTTTGACCTTTGCTATTCTTAAGGGACAGCCATTGCAAAATAAAGGTAGAATCACAATGTGCAAAAAAATAAATAAAAAACAAAAGAATCCTCTTCCTCCCTGGTATAGGCTTGATTCTCTTTCTGTAGTTCTAAAGTGAGAAAACCAAGGCAACCTGACCTAGGAGGACTGACAAAAATAGCATTCAAGGAGATAGCAGAGATAATTTATTTTGAAAGAAGATAAATTATGCAGCATAAAAACTATGGATATTGGTTTTTTTTTTTTTTGGTTTTTTTGAGGATGAAGGGAGAGATTGTGATTAAGAAGGTATTTCTAAATCATTAAATCTTTAGCTGTGGAATTTTTTTCTGCAAATATGTATTAAAAGTAATGTTTTAAAGGGATTATAAATCATTCATTAAGTCCATTATAACAATTTGAGTAGAAAAAGCAACTGAAAAGCAGGTGATCTAAGAACATGTGGACTGGTAATGTTTTCTTTGCTTTTGGAGTTTGGATTCTTATCAAGCCCAGGCTCTCAGAGTCATCTGTCTGTGACTGGTGATGAATTTGTCACAACACTTTAAAGTAATTGTGAAGAAAAAAGAAGAAAAATAATAGATGCACCCACCTTTGAAAATGTAAAATGTTATTTGGTTATAAGCATTTATATACAATAAATGCAAGTCTAAAAATTGGGCAAAAAATCAGATTTTGAAGAAAATGTCAAAATTTAATTTTCTAGATTGTGACTTGCGGTTATGATAAGGGGATAAGTACTTCTTATCATATTTCAAAGAGTTGTATTTACGTAAAAGACATGATATAGGGGAAACAATATGGTGTTTGAATGCAGAATCGATCTTGAATAAAACCTTGGCTCTTTTACTTGTGAACCAGTAGAGTTTAGAAAAAGTATCTGTCTATCTAAGCCTCAGATTTCTGACATGTAAAAGCAGAGTTCAAATATTGCTCTCACAGAGTTGTGAACACTAAATTCAATCAAATAAAATAAAATGTTCTAATGAATGTAAAATGCCCAGTGTCTTCAGACACTTCAAATGCATCCATTCCTTTAGTATTTACTCTCAAGGCAGTAGAGAGAGTGTGCAGAGGGGTAGAGAGCACCTACTGTCTGAAAAAGGCCCTGAATCTTTCCAAAATGCTCCCCACCTCAGATTTACACATTATTTTGCTTCTCCCAGTGTGCCTTACCCCTAAAGCACTCAAACAAGTGGTTAAATAAAGACGAGTTCCTAACAACTTGTGATGGTTTTCACATTGGTTGTCAGCTATTTTCTTGTGTGCTACACATGTATTTTTAAAACCAGTTTTTCACAGTATGAGGTTAAAAAAAAATCTTGGTTGTAGGCATCCTTTTATGTCATTGTAGGAGGAAATGTCTGTTCTCTCCCCCCTCCTTGGTTCTTTTTTTTTTTTTTTTTTTTTTTTTTTTTTTGAGACAGGGGCTTACTATGTAGTGAGACTGACCTGGAACTCACTATGTAGCCCAGGCTGGTCTCGAACTCACAGCGATCCTCCTGCCTCAGCCTCCCAAGTGCTGGGATTACAGGCATGTGCCACCATGCCTGGCTCTCCTCGGTTCTTTAATAAAGGCCCCTGGAGTGGCAGGAGCTATACCTCCTAGCATGTGCACAAACTTGCCTCTTACACTTCTTGTTCACATTCAGAGAAGCCATCAAAACACATAAATGTAATTCATTTAATGTTCAGCAATGTAAGACATTTTACTTACTGTGAGGACTGGCTGATGAACTCATTAAAATTACCCTGTATATCCATAACATGTTTTTAAGCCATCTTCTATGCGTTCAATAATGTTACCAGTAGAAGTACCAGTGATTGCTCTAAATAGAATCTTTTTTAATTGATAATATAAATTTATGATTGATAGTCTTAGCTGGCTTGTCAATACTGCCCAGTGATATAGCTAGGGTTACCTGGTCTGTGTCTAGCTTATTGGTTATAAAATCACTTCAAGTCTTATTTACTTCTAAAACACTTTTTCCATTTCTTAGTCCTTCTACTTGTTTTTCTGTTTGTGTTTTTTTTTTTTTTTTTTTTTTTTTTTTTTTTTTTGGTACCAGGGATTGAATTTGGGACCTTGGATTGCGAGGCAAGCAGCAGAACCACTGAGATAAATCCCCAGCCCTTTCTACTTGTTTTCAATAGATGACTTACCTTTCTACTATTGGAGATAGGAAAAGAGAATCCACCTTCAGATGGCCACTTCTCCACCTTACTATTTTTATGTATTCCAGTCTGTACACATCTGCCCAGATGCTTTCTGTTCCAGAAGACGCTCCCACTGGAGGAGGTTAACTTTCCACCGGTGCTGTGCATCCACTTTTATCTCTTTCTGAGCTTATTCCTCTGGTCTAACCTCACATCATCTTTCCTTCAACCAGATTTTTATACCACAAACCTGAGTGCCATCTCTGATTCCGTTTTTTTTTCCCTCCATGCTCTCAGATTTCAATCTTCTTGGCACCAGGGACCAGTTGTAAGGGATACAATATTTTCCATGGGTGCAGGGAGGCAGGTGGGTGGTGTTGAGATTAAATTCTCACAGGGAGCGTGCGGTTAGGTCCCTCGCTGGTCACAGTAGGCTGTGCTCCATGAGACTCTGATAGGAGGCAGAGCTCTGGTGGTGACACCTACAAGGGGGAGCAGCTGCTGGCTTGCCTGCTGCTCACGTAGTGCTGTGCAGCCTGGTTCCTAATAAGGAATGGACTTGTACTGGGGTATCCTCAGCCCTTGGTCTACGTGAATATTTGTTCGACTAGAATTTCTCTCCCTTTTGTCCCACTCTCAGCACACGATTCCAGGCCGATGTAACCTCTCAGGGGCGTTGTTGCCATAGCCTTTCAGTTATCGCCTCATTTCCAACCTGGCCCATTCTTCACTCTAGAAAAAATAATAATTTGAATTATGTCACTTTTCCTGTTAAAAACTCTTTTGTAAAATTTTAAGAGTTATAAGCAACTCCCTCGCTATTACTATATGATTTGTTCTCAACTCAGAAAGCCCTAACCCTATGGTATAGTATCTATTCCTTGTCTGTGTTTTGTGCCCCCCACCCCGCTTCTTAAACCCAGTGCTCTCCCCATTGAATTTGTTTGAGTTACTAGAATGTGATGCCTCTTTATGTCTTCTAGGCCTGTTCTCTCAGCTTGGAACATATTTCAATGTTTCTATAAATTTTACTTAGTTTCTAGATAGGAATCTTTTTTTTAAGTTCTAATAGCCTTCTTCACTTTCAAGGACTTCTTAACTCTTAGGGTAGCTTGGTTTTCTGCAGTATAAATCCATTACAACACTATGCATGTATTCTTGAAATTATTACAAAGTAAACTACAGGGTCCATGAGGAAGGGAACACTCCCTGCGTCCTCAGAGCCTGTCATCCATGCCTGGCATGTGGTTAAGTACTCATTCAATAATTTAAATGATTTACAGCAATTACTCAAATAATATATTCAGAAGGTTTTGAAATTTTGAATAAGTGAGGGAATAAAAACCCATCACTTTCTTCAGTATTATAACCACATTTTGATGGATTAAAAAAATACTGTTGTAGCAGACCTGGAGATATCTTTCAGATCCTCTTTCAGGCCAAAAACCTGCTGCTAAACTGTAGATGATTGTACTTGTGTTTGAAAAATGGACTACTTTTATTTGAGTACGGTGAGGCCATCAGGTTAGGAGACCATTTTACCATTAAAAAGATGACATGTTGTCATTTCTAGGAGCAAGTGATTGACGTACCTCACTGGCCATACTGTCCACAAGGAGAGCATCAGCGTCCATCAGAAGTCAGGATCTACTGGCAGATGACTTCACCCCTGTCTCTGAGGAGAAGAGCATGTAAGACAGAGCAAGCCGGCTTGGATTGGCTGCTCTGACTAATCTCAGGGGTTCTCTAGCTGTACAGTGATGGGGCACAGAAATAGTGGTGTGGGGTGAGAGTCCCTGAAGGAGGGGGTTTGGGCTTGATCTCTGCATTAATTGTTTTGGTATGAAAGGCACACTTATAGGGGAGTCATGCACAATCTGTAGGAAATAGTAGCAGGACAGAGTTCCCCCTGGGTCAGCAAGGCCTCCGATGTGAAAGAATCAGATTTTAAAATATGCTTCATAGACCTGGGCAAGCTCTAATATTTAGCATTGTCAGGATCTAGCTCAATTTTCAATGCTCTTCCTGGATACCCCTCAGCCAGTGACTGAGCAAGGTGGTGATGCAAACCATTCTCACCTCCTGTGAATTTCTCGAATGGGTAGTGTTGGCCGGTTGGTCTGGGGTCACTAGCCCGCCTCACTTTTGTCTCTCTGATATAGAACGAGGAAGAGGAGTCAGACGACATAGTACAGAGCAAAAGCGACTTTTATTGCAAGAGAAAGCAGTACAAAGCTACTCCGAGGAGTGGGGGACCCAAAGGCTGCTGAATAGAGGGCAGTGGTCCTATTTTTATGAAGAGGGGCCCTGTTTCCACTTCACCTACCGCCTCAGAGGGTAAACGATTGAGTGGATGTTGGGCCTGTTGCAAGGATTTGGGTTTGTGGACTAATTGGGGAATTTGGGTAGGTATGGAAACCTGCAAAAGTAGCAAATAGGATAGACAGTGCTATCTGCACAGAGGCAGAAGCAAAACCACAGCCTATCAGTTTCTGCTGTTCATAGTCTCAAGAGTATTGCAGGGGCTGCTTTTCTCCTGCTTCTTAAAGCCCTGAGTCCTTATTGCAACCCTACTGAGGGCCATCTTTCCCTACAGGTAGTATTTATTTCTATACTCCCTGTTAGTTTGGCAGAGATTTTGTTGGACTGGCAATTGGAATCTGACATCCCCATTGCCCAGTATTGGTTCTCCTTTCTCTAATGAATGTTAGTCCTCAAATCTCATAATCTTTCTTTGTCTAGTTGTCTGCTACTCATGCTATAAAGCCCAGCTTCTGAAAGCTGGAGCAGATGGCTCTAAGACAATAAGTACTAAGGAGAGGTTTAAAGATCAGATCATTTTCTGATCACTTGCTAAAGGGACTTGGCGGTAGGTGGAATACAGTCTTTAGCACAAGATGACGGGTGACTGTTAAAGCTCTCACTAGCACTGTGCTGTGTCAACTTGCCAACAGAAGTTGGTGCACCAACAAGTGCCACTCCCCAACAAGCGGCAGCTGTGTAAACCAGACTGAGGAGACCATCACGACTGAAGTGTAGCAAACTTTTCCCACCAGGGAGAGAGTACCTGAAAACATGTCCTTTGGTCTTCACTACGCTGGGAAACAAACCCATATTAAGAGAATATGATGATAAATTAGCAAGGAAACAAAAGAAACAAATGTTAGAAAGAAGGGCGATGGAAGTTATGCTACAGGAATATAATTTTTATTCTGTGAATATATATAAATTCTTTTAAGAGGGACAGTAAAAGACAAAATTCTTCTTATGGTTTAAAAAATAAAGTCCAGTTATCACATATCTATTCATTATCAGATATATAACTAAAATGAAAGGGAAGTTAATGATAAGAGGGAGAATACAGATGGCAGACAAATACACAAAGATAGTACCAGTGTAGCTATAAGACCACATTAATTAAGCTAAACAAAGTAATTTTCATTGAAGATAAGTACACAAATATGTAACAAGTTAAAGAATGATAAAAATAGTGTAACAGGTATAGATAAGAAATGATAACATGAATCTATAATAAATATATTTAATCTCAAGAAAATGCCTTTAGAGAAAACTAAGAATTATTGGAATTGATTAAAAGAGCAGAGCTGGCTGCAATAGCACACCCCATAATCTCAGCGCTTGGGAGGCTGAGGCTGGAGGATCACTGTAAATTCAAGACCAGCCTGGGCTACACAGTGAGTCCCAGGTCAGTCTTAACTACATAGTGAGACCCTGTCTAAAAACAAAAACGAAACAAAACAAAACTCCCCCAAAAGACCCTATAAAACTTGAACTAAAAAATAACCATGAAACAAATTTAAAACATTGTATACAAAAAACTTCCCAAAAGCACTTGGAGTCATAATATTTCAAGACAGTTAGATCCTACACCTTAATAAATCCTAAATATAGAGCATGTTGAAATTTCAGCTAATTTTATAATGCCAACACCATCTTACTTAATCAAAATCATTATAGAACACTAAGAAATAGATCTTTGAAAAATTAATAAATATATTTGACTAAATTAATTCCTGCATCTGTCTAATCTAGAACAAAGTGTAGGATTGCTTATGCAGACCATAAATCAAACACAATTTAAAATATTTGTCCATATAATTTTCAATTTAGTGTTTGTATTTGGAAATACCACTTTTCTTTTATACTGGTAACATGCTGGAACTTTAGCTGCATAAACCTTTCATTGGATTTTTTCTGTCATTGGTCCTTAGGATTCTTAAAGTAAGTTTTTCGTATACAAGAAAACCATTTGAACAACATCTTTCAAAGGTGATAAAATAACTATTTTTAAGGATGCATGTTATTATCTGTAATCACTTCAGATGGCCCAAAAGAGCCTAAGGATATGCAAGTTTAAACAGGGCTGTCAAGGAAGTCTTTACCAATAAATTACAGAAATGAAGGAAAAGTGATTGCTGTCTAGAGATAGATTGTTCTGATGGAGTTCAGAGTCCTGCTATCAACAAATCAACCAATAACCAGTGTTGGCGGGGTTGCTGGGGGAGATAGGAACCCTTCTCCATTGTTGTTGGGAGTGCAGACTGGTGCAGCCACTGTGGAAATCAACGTGGGGTTAGGGGTCCCATTTGACCCAGCTATTCACCTGCTGGGTATCTTTCCAAAAGAATTAAAAGAATCATACCACAGGGATATATGCACACCCATGTTTATAGCAGCACAGTTTGTAATGGCTAAAACTTGGAAACAGCCTAATTGGGCAACTGGAGACTGGATAAAGAAGATGTGTTTTTTTTATAAAATGGAATGCTACTTAGTCACAAAGAATGAGAAACTAGAGAGATTTATAGCTAACTGGATACACATTAGGCCATACTCTTAAGTGAAACTAATAAGTTACGCATATGTAAATACTGAATAGTTTCTCTGGTGTGAAAAAGTAAAGGTGTAAATAAGAATTAAAATATATAATTGATAAAGTATAATAGGAAGAAAAGTCTAAAAGAGTAGAGGAAGTGGGAGGCGCAGGTGAAAGGTAAAAAGGGAGAAGAAAAAATATGAGAAAAGGAAAAATATGGAAACAAGGTCTTTGTAAGCAGGGAAGGGTGGAGTGGGGTGAGGGCTGGGGAATGGGGAAAAATAAGTACCTGATAAGTTATGTAAAGGTACAGGATCCCAATGATTAATGTAACTGCATTGTATAACTAATATGTATCAATAAACAATAAAGATCAAAAGAAAAAAATGTTCAAAGAATATAAAGGAAGTAGTAATGGCAGAGCATAGTGTCTATCGGGGAGAAGGAGATAAAGACATAAGGAACCATATGACTTGGGTTTTATGACAGATGATGAGAAGGCTTTTGAATTTCTGAGAACAGGACTAACATGCTATGACCTAAATTTTAACATGCCAGATCTGGCTATTCAGAATCAGGCAAGGGCAGAAGCAGAGAGAAGAGTTAGGAGAACAATAGTCTCTCTCATTACCCCACACCTAATCCATGAGTAAATCCTCTCAGCTCTGTCTACAGGAAACCTCCAGAATAGCACTGCTGGCCAGGTACTCGCTGCCACTGCCCTGGTGTAAGCCAGTACCTCTCCATGGATTAATGAAATGACCAAAAATTGCTCTCATTGCTTCTCCACCTGTCTCCTCTCTGTTGGTTTATTTATTTTGTGTTTATGCTTGTAATACAATGTGAAAGTGAGCTATATATGCAGTGTGATCGAATGGTGAATGTTTTATAGAAAAAAATGTATTAGAGTAAGACACATTGTCTTTGATCCCCCTCACAGTACTCCCACTAGCTTCACATTCACTTACCCACCATGCTTGCCAATTTCTGAAGCAGTTCTGGAAGTACTTTTTCGTGTTTCTTTATTTACACTATCACAACTGCCTTGATGTCCTGAATGGATTCAAAACATTTACTTGGCGGGGATGTGGGAAGATAGGAACCCTTCTCCACTGTTGGTGGGAGTGCAGACTGGTGCAACCACTGTGGAAATCAATATGGAGATACCTCAAAGAGCTAGGTCTAGAGGTTCCATTTGATCCAGCCATCCCTCTGCTGGGTATCTTTCCAAAAGAATTAAAAGAATCATACCACAGTGATATATGCTCACCCATGTTTATAGCTGCACAGTTTGTAATAGCTAAAACTTGGAAACAGTCCACTTGCCCATCAGTTGGAGACTGGATAAAGAAGATGTGGATTTTTCTATAAAATGGAATACTACTCAGCCATAAAGAATGAGAAATTAGAATCATTCATAGGAAAATGGATACATATTGAAGTAATGCTTTTAAGTGAAATAAATAACTCACACATGTAAATACCAAATAGTTTCTCTGGTGTGAAAAACTAAAAGTGTGAGTAAGATCCAAATGGTATAATTGACAATGTGAACTAGAAGAAAAGGGCTAAAGGTGTAGGGGAAGTGGGAAGCTTAGGGGAAAGGAAAGAAGGGAAAAGAAAAAATACGAGAAAACAAAAAAAATGGGAATGAAGTGTCTGTAAATAGGAAAGGGAGGAGGGGTGAAGGGAGGGCAAGGGTAAGGGGAAAAAATGAGAACCAAGACCTGTCATGTAAAGGCAGAAGATCCCAATGATGAATGTAACTACTGTATACCTAAAATATACCAATAAATTCAATGAGGGTAAAAAAAAACACTTACTTTTCAAGTCATTTTGAATTTGAGGAAAAGCAAGAAGTCACTTGGCACCAGATCTGCTGGATAAAGCAGGTAAAAACACACTGTAATATTTTTATGAGCTTGCCTTTCCACTGGATGGTACTTAGCAGCATTATTCACCTTATTTTTGGTAAAACTTTATGAAGACATCCACAAACAGAACTTCCAGATCCACTTTACAAAGTGGCCAAAGCTATGGAACAACTGTGTTCAAAGGAAGGCGGTGTATTTGAGGGAGGACAGTGGTAATGTACCTTTTGCTGTAATACATTTTTAAAATGTAAAGTTTCATCCAATAGTTTGATCACGGCTTGTAGATATTTGGAGAAACAATGTGATGTAGGAGAAAAGCAAAGAATGACTGAGTTTATTAATTTTAAGCATAGACCTAAAATACTCTCTTTAAGCAACTTTGCCATTTTCCTAAGGTTTTGGTATTAAAGAGTTTACCACTATACGTCACAATGATCAAAGATTTCATTTATTATCTTCTATATGAAATAGGTATATTTGTCCCTTGTTTGCACTTAATAAAATTAAGTAAATCTATATATTTTATATTTATCAGGGATCT